ATTGAATGCACTTTTAGATCACAGACATTCATGTGTAGTGGTAGAGAAACATATAACTTCATTCTCCCTTCCAACTGAGGGGGATGCTCAACCTAGAAGGTAGAAGAGGAAAAGTTGATCAGCTGATCTCCAAAAAGGGTGAGATCCAATCAAAGTTAGCCAGAGGAACAGAAAGAGCAACTTAGAAAAGTTGGAAGGAAGCTGATGTTCTTGAGTAATGAGAATATTGTCATTGTGCCCCCCATAAGTGAGAATCTGTGCCCTGGTGGGAAGTGAAGACGGACAATGAGATCAGTTTCATAAAAGGTACAACAGGCTGAATATGTTGAAGGACCAGATAAGAAGACAAGTATCTATAGCAGGATGACCTAGGTAGAAGGAGGGATGACTCACTCTGGAAGTACAGGGACCACTTCTAGACTCCTGTAGCTTGCTATGCTTTGCAAAGCTAAGAGCAGATTCCAGAGGGACGGAGCCAGAGCCAACATCCAATGGGATGGGTTGCCTGACCTGGAATGGGGCTGCCTCTGTGTTCCATATCACTGGAAGGATTAAAGTTCAGCAATGTTGCTCCAAGGATCCTAATATTGAGAGAGAGGATGGAATGGATGGTCCTAAAAGGAACCTTCGTGGTTCTATTGGGAATTCTGAGCATGGGGATAAAGGTTATTATTGTTCATACTAGGGCCTGATATACTTATTTATTCAACTGTCTCAAGGCTACATGACCAATTCTAACTGCCCAATTTTTTTCACAATGGATTGGGTATCGCCATTATTAGAAGAGCAGCACATATATTTTGTGTTTGAAGAGGAGTCTGATGGTGGGGCCTTAGGTTACTAGCTTATTATTTGTTGTCACTACAATCTTGTGGCCCTGTTTTTGAAAGTTGAATGACTCAATGGTGATGTGTAACCTAGGACTAGAAGAAACAATAGGGAATATTCCCAGGACACAATTTATCACCTTTTTTACGGAAAAAGAACAGAAGATAGCCAAACAATAAATGTAATACTAAAGATAGTCAAAACAATGGAAATATATTTTTTTCAGAGCTATAAAAAAATCTGCTATTTCTCAGCACATGCAGCCTGTGGAAAGTTCCAGGGTATTTATTTTCTAGATGTAAACTAATGGGTCTTCTTATCCACTGAATTCAAACCACCGATGGACAAGGTCAAGAAGGATGAATGAAATTAGAATTGATGAGCTAAGTGTCGTGATTTTCTTTCTTCTACAACTTGAATTTTTGCTTTAAGAATTTGGGGTCCAAGAATGTGGTACAATTCCAGTAGCTTCGCAGAGATATTTTTGGAGCAGGCCACATTGTTTTGCAGAAGGAGAATGCATTCTATCCCCACATGGTATTGTAGAATCATTATTCATTTAACAAAATGTGGTCTTTTCAGCTAGCAAGTTTAGTTCTATAATTAAAATGGACTAAAAGTATTCTGGGGTATATCTAGAAAAAATATTTTGTGTGTATAATATATAATATTTTCTAGAAATTTCCCATGGTGGATCAAACAATAGAAGAGGACTTTTTTTTAAATAATAAAAAGAAGAGATTTATTATAGGAATTGGGTCGCACAATTATGGAGGCTGAAAAGCTCCATAGTCTGCCCTCTGCATGCTGGAGACCCTGGAAAGTGAGTGGTATAATTCTTTAAATTTTTTATTGTTATGTTAATCACCATACATTACATCATTAGTTTGTGATGTAGTGTAGGGGAAGACTTTCTGGTTAGGATTTAGTGTGGGCTTTGAAATCTATATATGTGTATGTGTTTTAAGTGAATTTTGGAAAGTCAGCAAAACATAAAGTCAGTTGTAAAATTATTCCCTTTGCTTCCAAATTATCTGTGCAATATTCACAGTGAGGAAGAATTAATACAAAAGCAGATATTTGAAAAAGCCTTCATATGTCTTAATACCATGATAATTGTTTGGTTTATCAGCAATTCTTGAGTGCTCACAATGCCAGGTACAGAGGTGAAAGATAGTTTTAACTTTCAGTGCTCACCAAGTTAGTTAGCTAATTCATGCTAGTGAGGGAGATAAATGGGGCAGCAGGACACAGGACACAAGATAAGTGAGGTGGCAGGTGCGAGCCGGGCTCCCTGGGAGGTCTGAGAACCCAGGGTAGCTTGAGGACAACGGCGGTGAGCAGGCCTCACAGGACTCAGCTGAGAAGACCAGAGAGAAGCATGGGGTGGCGGGGGGAGAGAGCAGTGTGTGCAAAGTAGTTTGAGCAGCTCTAGTTTTCTTCCTCAGTGTTGTCCACTTACCAAAGAAAATAAGATGATCATAACCTTGATTTTTATCAGTTTAAATGGTGGCGAACCATTGGGAAATCTTTCCAAAAGGGATTTTCTTTTCATACACTTTGCAAAGTCAGGAGCAGAAAAGTGACGAGGAAGGTCTTATCCAATTGAGTTTGCTCCTGCAGCTCTTAGTAGCTTCTTCACAGCCTTTGATCGAGGGTAGCTCACAGGTAGGGGAAGCACTTCCTTCAGTAGTCAGCATTGCTCTGGGAGTTTTTTGGTTACATTTTCACAAATGTCTCATCTCTTTGTATCAACAAACCCTGCTCTTTGAGCCACATGGTGGGTTTCTACTTCTTTCCCATTTTTGTGTGTCAAAATAGGAAAAATGAAGGAAACTCTTCAAGATCAGAACATATTATTTTTTTACTTACTCCCAAATAGCATATTCCCTGTAGATTTAATAAAGAAGGACCTGGCCAGTTATTGGAAGGGTAATTCAGTGTTCCTCTCAAATTTAACCTTACATTGACAGTGCTCGTATTTTACCTGTAAATGCTCAATTGGTAAAACAATTAAGCTTTAATAGTTGTTCATAATGGATTTCTGTAGCCACATTTCTGTTTTAGTTTGAATAACTAGAAGAAAATAAGGGACATAAATGATTTGTTTTATGTGAAAATTGTCTTTCATATGCAGTCCACAAAAGCAAAATGTTGGACATTTTTAGTACATATAAATCGTTAATGAAAAGAATGCTTCTGTTTTCTGTTGGCGTTTTATTTTTTGTGCATGCTGTTCTTCTCTGAATCTTTTCCTTAAAAGCCATCTTCTTGTATGAGGTTCTCAGTATGCTATATCCTTAGCCACCATAGTTCCTAAGGAAAAAAAAAAAGGACTTCATTCAAACTAAGGATGGTAAGAGAAAAAATACCCTCTTGAAAGTCCTAGTCTGGAGCAAGAGAAAATAAAAGTAAGATGCTAAAGAAAAAAAGAGTTTAAGATTTGGAACCTGATGGTGTGGGTTCAGTTTCTGGTTCTATCACTTTCTACCCCAGGCAAATTCATTAACTTTGTTTTTCTGTAAAAGGATGTGATGGATAATACCTGCTCTTATACACACCTACCCACCTACCTGCCTCATTAGAGATTTCCTTAGCATTTAAATATGTAAAAGAGCCTTGACACCAAATATGATTTACAAATACTAGTTGTCATGGCAACAACTTTTCAATGTACAAATATGATTATATGAAGTTATGTTTCATGTACAGTACTTAGCATAATAGGCACTCACTAAATGAGAATACACTTTCCTCTTTCTCAGCTTTTCTTTCAGAGCTGCTTCTGTCCCATTTGTCCCCATTTACCACTAGGCTTTTCTGCTGTTCTACACACTTTGGTTCGTTGATGCTGTAATTATTCTTCCTGCATGCACAGGCTCAGAGAAACAGCTGGTCACCAGCCAACTTTAGGAACCCCCTTCTTAGTTTGGACATCTGATCGTATACATATTCTCGTTTTAAACTTCTGTGTGATTAGAACATACATGGGTGGATAATTAGTTTTATATCCTGTAATAACCTGTTTATGACAGTGGAATCTCTTGGGTGCAAATGTTTATAGTTTTGTGAATAACAACATGTATCATATTTGTTTTACAAACAACTTTAATTCAGCACTCTACTTGTATTTACTTAGGTGTTCTTGCACAAAATCACGTTGAGCAATTATTTTCAATTTGTACAATAACAGTACTTAAAATTTATTCAGTACTCACAGAAATGAAATTATTTAGTCTTTACCACACTGTGAGATATTATTTACCCACTTTACAGATGGGGAAGACAAACCACAGAAAGGATGTCAGGAGTCAGGATATCGTCACAGTTAGATATGCAGGGCCTCTTTCCAGAATGCCTGGGTTAATTCTACTTCCCCTATTATTATCTGTGCATCCTTAGATAAATTACTTACTCTTTATGTGCTTCAGTTTTCCCATCTATAAAATGGGGAAATAATCACACATCCCTCATAATGTTATGAGAATTGAAGTCTTTCCCCCAAATGGCATTTTAGATTCCCTGAACTATTTCAAAGATCTGTCTGCATATATTTTGCTTTTCTTTCTTCCCATCATCAGCAGTAGCATTTCCAATGAGATAGTTCTCCCAGACAATACAAAGTGCTATTTGATGATTTACTGCCTTAAGTTTCAGCGTTCAGTCAACACCATGGAATCCGAAGACAGGCTCCATCATATTAATTTTTGGAGCCCTAGGAACTTTAGTGTCCCTCTGAGAGAGTGACTTCAAATGAAACCCAGTTCTCAAATTTATTTCATTTTGGCTGAAACAATAACAAGCGCTTTCAGCACACTCAAAGTGTTAAGCCCCGTGTGGCAAGCTTATACTGTACACATTATTTTTTATTACAGCTTTACTTGGTTTGAACGTTCGTTTCCTTTCCAAGCTCTTAGATGCATTTAACAGCTAAAGATAGAACATAAAGTTATTTTATTGCTTGTGAAATTGCCCTGGCTTGAAGTCAGAAACAACTTTATCAAAATCCTAAGAATCAGCGCAATCAAATGTTGCATGTGATTTCAGTCTCTTTAAAAGAGTTTTTGTCATTGAGAAAATGAGCATGGATAAATATTGATTGTTTTTCTGAACAGTGTTTCCCCATTTCCCAAGCCCGCGGTAACTCAGTCTGTTCTCTCGTGTCCTGACAGGAACCAGCATATTCACGGTATACGAGGCTGCGTCCCAGGAAGGCTGGGTGTTCCTCATGTACAGAGCAATTGACAGCTTCCCCCGCTGGAGGTCCTACTTCTACTTCATCACGCTCATCTTCTTCCTGGCCTGGCTTGTGAAGGTATCGCAGAAACTCTTCCTAATAAAATCTGTGTTTTCCGGCCGTTTCTGCAGATCTCATTTGCTTTCTGTTGCCCTCCGCTTCCTCATCCCCAGTCTTTAGTAAACGTGGTTTGTGATTTTCTTTCAGAATGTATTTATCGCTGTCATCATCGAAACATTTGCAGAAATCAGGGTACAGTTTCAACAGATGTGGGGATCGAGAAGCAGTACTACGTCAACGGCCACCACACAGGTACCATATGGGGGGGTGGTGATGTCCTTTCCCACTAGAACACGGACTTATCCGGCCCCACCCTCAGTGGGCCTTGGTGGAACTTGGGAAAGCCCTCTGATGAAGACCTTCTACAGTCACGCCCATGGATGGAGCTATTCAAAAATGCTGGTGCAAGGACCCAAGCCCAGACCAACCAGATCAGCTTTTCTGGGTGATAGGGTGGATTCGATATAAAGCCAAGATTGTCACCACATTTACTAGGTACTTTTGATTTGATTTGGCCATTATAAGTCTTCAGAAGGCTTACAGATAAAAATGGAAACTGTAGAATTTCCCATTTTTATAAATATTTATTCATGTAATTGAAAACCAATATAATGGCCTTTATGTATAGGGGTAGAATTATTTGGGGAATGTAAAGTATATTTCATTCAGAACGAGCCAATCACAGTATGGTAAATTATGAAGAAGACTCCATAATGCATACCTGTGATTTTTGAGGAATCACTATATATTCAGAAGGGTGCCCCTGTGCTCCCAAGAAATTGGGAGTGCCCTAGAATTTAATTATAAGTATCAGGGCAGTTATTACATTGAAGGGCAATCCAGATCCAATGTCTTTGTTTTTAATTTTGGTTTGGTTTTGTGTGTGTGTGTTTGGGGGATTCTGTTTTTTGTGTTTACAAAGAGGCAGGGAAGGTTTATATATCTTAGTCTAATTTGAATCTTTATAAAAGAGAGAGAGAAAAAATTCCTGAATCAAGAATGAAATGATTTTAATGCTTATGACTATTATTTTAATATTCATTTTTAAGAGAAATTTAATATAACTTTGTAAATAGTTTAATAGGACTTTGTAAATAGTGGTCTGGGGACAAAGGTATTTGTGAAAGAGCCAAGGTAAAAATCTTACTCTGAAAATCTTCAAATTGAACTTTTATTAACTATATGTTAAAAATGCTATTAGATGTGCTAATATTTGGAAAAGCCCTATGCAGCATCTTTATGGTGTTGTGAAAGTTTGAATCATCTGGCCAACTCATTATAAATGAAATAGTATTAATATTATTCAATTCTGGCAAGCAACCATTCAAACTTTCATGAAAGATTTTTTAAAGTTATGAAGTTATGTCACAGATGACATGTAAAAAAAAAACACCAAGTTTTTATGTCTTCTGTCATCTCCTCCAGTGAACTATGAGAAATAATAAAGTTCCAGGTCCATTCTGGTCTGTCCTTTAAGTCAGGTGACAACCTCTGGAAGGTGTGTTTTCTGCTGTCGACGTTGAGAACTAAATGGAGCATAGATCTATGAACTCAGCGCAGAATTTACATTCAGTGTTCCTGAGAGATGACCTAAGAAGTCTTTGAAACCACATCATGCTTATTCAGTAACTTGTATTTATAAAGCCACAGCTGAAAAAGTAGTGTTGGGAAGCTCCCCCAAATCAGCCAGCAGTTCTAATAGAAAGTGAAATGCGAAGGGGACGTTCAACGAAGTTGTGCAAAATGATTTTGATGCAAAATTATACTTAATCAGGAGGAATACGTTGGTAATTCAGAGGTAATGCGTCTAGGTACTCAGCAGAGGTAATCACACAGAGGATCGTGAAAAACCTTCATTAAGAAAAATGCTGTGGCTGAGGACCCGGTTACTAGGCAACCAGAGCTCCTGCCGAAGCCTCGGTAGAACAGCACTCGGGGTGCCTGGCAACAGGCCCCGCCCAGCCCGTCGCCCGCCACTAGGCGAGTGGCCCAGAGGCTTTAGTGTCTGAGGGAAGGGGGGGCATCATTTCCTGGGATTCTGTGACATTTGTAAAATCTGACAGAACTCTGTGCACAAGGGCCTCTTATTGAATAGTTTAAAACACTAAATCATTAGTTTCTAGTTGTAATAAAACAGGTAGGCATTAAGGAAATGAAAACAAAGATGGTGACTGTATTGCAGAGCACACAGCTTTTCAGTAATGGCGACGCTTCTTGCCACTCTTCAGCATGTGGAACATTTGCAGTTGTTCTATGTTAAATTATCCTCACAGAAGAGCCAAGGGGGTCCCAGGCTTGGTGGGCTTGGTGGTGTCTTTGAGTCCATGGACTTTTCCAAGAGGGCTGTGTGTTTAGAGAGAAAATTATACATATTAACGGGATGAAGAACGGGCTTTCTGAGATCTTAGGCAGTTTAGTAGGAATTGACTCTAATACGGACTGTTCAGAGGCAAAAGAGAACCAGTGATGAGAACTGGGAGGTTATTTTTTTTTTTAATTTTAATAACAAGGCAACCTGCCTTCGAATCACAGCATCGAAACACATTACAGAAAAAAATAATGCCAAAGGACTTGTGGGGACCGTAATACAACATGTAACAGGAAAACAAAGAGAAAATGAAGTGGAAAATTTCAGAGTGGTAATCATTAGTTTGCATGAGCTCTGATGGGGATAGTGGCTTTCATACCTGCATAATTTTTAGCATGGGTCACTGTTGCCACCAGCTCAGTTAGCTGTTGGGTTAAAGGCCAAGAGACTCATTCATCTGTGATACGGTGGTGCCTACATCAGTCCACAGTAGGCCTACCCCTGCCATATGTGGGCAGGGGTATTGCCCCAGAGCTGGATGTTGGGAGGCACAGACGTGTTACTAGAAAATGTCCTGGACTTAGCATTTCTCTAGCCTAGACCTTTATTCTCACTCCTTAGTTGCTTCACCTCAGACATCTGTCACCAGTCATGTGGTCTTCCCATCTACACTGATTCATGGTGGAGATGAGCTTATTTCACTTTGCCTGGAGAAGAACTGAAAGAACTGTTCAACTTTAGGGCCACAAAGTCTTCGTTTTTGTTATGTATACTGATAAGAGACTCAAGGCAGGCTCTGGCAATCAGTATGTGTATACAAATTATGGTCCACTAGCGTCATATTGAGGGATATGGAGAGACAGGACTTGAGCCCTGAGGATTCCTGGATTTGAATATCCTGTTTTCTACCTCACATAATTGTTACATTAATCTAAATGTTGTCTTATAATTCAGGGGACTAAAGAGAAATTAGACATCGAACATGTCTGCATTTCCTTCACTTCATTTTATACAAAGAAGTGACCTTGAGAGAACAATTTTACTAACAATTAAATTGATTCATTTGATTTTGGTCAACTGGAAAAAAATAATTTAACAGAGAAAATTAGTCTGCTACTGATCAAAGCAAATATATGCCCCAGGGATCCTTTGTGCAATGATAGGATGCATGTACAGAAGATTTTTAGCTAGTGACTGACAGGATTGCTTTTGTCTTTTCTCCTTAAAAGGAGACACCCAGAATTTTGACAGGAACTTTAAAAGGCACTTTAAAAGGTTTTCATTTCAACCAATGTATGAATTCTCAGAATGAGCCTATTCATGGGGATATGCTTGATTCTACCACTGAGACTACCTTTCAAAATTCATTCTAAAGGGAATCAGAATCCTGTACATAGCACCTAAGAGAAACAGTTTGTAATTGGTATCTTGGATCAAAGAATCTTTGGGCAAATAGGCACCTCCATTTTGTCATTTAAAAATACTTATATGGTATATATGGACAAACGGTAGCTACACTTGCGATGAGCACAGCATAATGTAAAAATAAGTCAGGATAATGCTTCATGAAATAATTAAATTGAGCATATGTGTAACAGTATTTTGTAGAATGTCATATAGTAGGTGCTGTCTGTATATGTTGGAAAGTATGAAATAAGTAGCATACTTGGCAAAGAGCCCTCAGTGCAATCTTTGGAAAGTACTGATTCTAGGACGCATGAACATCTGATACACCATTTTTCTGAGTGGATCTTTGTAGGTTGGCATTGTTGAGAATTCCCAGTTTAACCATTAAAAAAATGTTTTCTAATAAAAAAAATACATATTAAGGTCTATGAATTTTGGCACTTGTCCCTCACCACCTCACAAGTTTTCTTTCTACAAATGATCTACTACCTCTACTCCCAGGAATCTTAGGTATGGGATCTTTGCATTATCTCATATTTCCATCAATAATTACCCTTTTGAACACAGACTAATGTGAGGGCATGAATAAGTATGGCAAAGAAAATATTTACTTATGTGTGTGAAACTGTGGTCTTGGACAGGAATAAACCTAGCTTCTAGTTAGTGTCTTAGAAAAATAAAAATCCTTAATTCTACCTTATCTCACTTTCAGCCACACCCCTCCCCCTACACACACAAAAGGAGTTGGAAAGAAAATATACTAGCATAAAATATTTATAAGTGGGAAATGTCTTCCATTGGGGTGTAATATTGACAGATGACTAATTTTTGAGGGAGTAGAGTATGCAGTAAGATAATAACCCAGGCATTCAACAATCCAGCTATCCCATTCAATGAATATCAGATTTTAGTATCCTATACCATTCTGAACTTTGTCACTTATGTATTTTAAGACAAAATACATAAAATTTTTGCTGAGCAGATTAATTTGGCATCATTAAAATAATTTCACAGAGTCTGCTAAGTGATATGTCGGTCTTCTACCATTAAAATAACCAGTCTCCTTCCCTGTGCCACATGCACAGTTCTTCTGTTATTTATCCTGAGAATATTTTTCTGTTGACTCAGTGAGGAATGCCCAGTAAATAAAGATAAAAATTCACCACTCCCAGTCAAAAACACACCAGACATAATGCTTTGGAATTCTAATTTTTATTTTTTCCCCAGGTCTAATATGTAATAATCAATCCCCAATATATTGGGGATAAAATACCTCCTATCAAGTCTCGTTGAGAAGAATATTTGGGCAATTATATGCAAAGCACATGTAAAACAGAAAGGACCTGATGCATAGCAAATGCTCAATAAATGCAGGCTAGCGATTGCCATTATTCTTGTTATGATTATTATTCACTTAAGTTTTCTGTGTTCCAGTGAACATAATTGGAATGATTCAGGTTCTAAATATAAATCCACAAAAAGACAAATCTTTGATAACATAAAAACGGTAGAAGCTGGAGACATAAAGTAGGAGTTCATGATGTTCCGTATTAAGTGTCTCTGACTCATCTCCCTCTTTGTCTTGAAGATGTTTCATGAAGATGCCGCCGGTGGATGGCAGCTGGTAGCTGTGGATGTCAACAAGCCCCAGGGACGTGCCCCAGCCTGCCTCCAGGTGCAGTACAATACTGTTTTTAAAACTCACCCAGCAAAAAAGGTCTGTGACTTCTATTTTATACAAGGAAGTCCACTGCTGTCCAAACTCTAGGTCTGCCCAAGTTTATTGTCCTGGGGTCAGGGACAGTATTTGACGCCATTCCGTATTCCCAGGACCCACCTTTTATTTATTTATTTAATTTTTTAGATACACGGCAAGGATTTGGTCAATTTCAAGTGAATGAAGGCACAGAAGTAATAACATCATGCCAACAGTATTAAATCAGTGAAGAATTTTGTTGTCATATTGGATGTTACAAAAGTATTCTACAAAGGCCTGAATTATTTAAGGGAGGGCAGTCACAATCACGATTCACTTAATTGAGTACCTTACCAAGTACCTGGGAAGGAATATCTTTAAGAGGTAGTCTGTTCGGCATCTGCAAGCTGAGTAATGTGACATAATAGAGCTGCTTCCTTAACAGGTACACCTGCAGCAAACACAAGGCTCTGGGATTGCACGTGGGTTCCAAGGTCCTGGGAAGTGATCAGGGGATGTCCCATCGGGTTTCGGGCCTGTGGATTTTTGGACTGCCCTGAGCTTTACTTAAAACCCAATAAACTCCTTCTTTGCTTTAGTGGACTGCACTGGCACCTTCTCGTGCTTTGCCCCCCTCCCCGCCCCTAAATGTCAATAATACTTATTCAGAACCATAAGCAGCATCCCTCCCACTCCACATTTCACTCTGTCCATTTCCCTACTCTTTATAAGGGTGAAAAGTCAAGCCACGCCATCCTAGGGACTGAAAATTGACTCTTCCTCCTGGAGAATTTTATTTTCTTCCCTCTGGTTTTCAGTTACAAATCCTCTTCTCACAAGGGACTGATTTTTATAGTTGCTTATGTCCGTCCCCAAAATTCGGAAAGGCTTTGTCATCTGCTTCAGGATTAGAACACACCTTCTTTCTTTCTTTGGGTCATTCTCTAGGTGGGGGCTCATTGTGCATTTCAAGGATTACTACATGAGAAGCAAAATATTGTACTCTGAACCATCACAGGGAGCTACATTCATATGGCCTTTTAATCATATAGTGATTTGTTCCTATCAGTTAAAGGAATGGCGAGGAAGACTTTACAATGAATATTGATAATATCTAATATTATGTTGTGGCTCTCTTTCTGTTGTATATTGGATGTGACAGTGCTAATAGTCAACTCCTACAGCTACTTCTAGTATTACCATTGCTACTGGCGGTAATAACAATGACAGCAATTGTAGCTTCTTGCCCAAAATGCACTTTCACTCACTCAGTAATCCATCGGCTGCTATTTACTGATGCTAAGAGAGTCCTGACCAAGAAAAGCACAGCCCCTGCCCTCGTGGAGCTTACTGAAGGGTACTTCAGGGTGGGTGGACAAAAACCACCATTGAACTAGCAATTGCAAGAGTAATGAGGATTTCAAAGAAGTAATGCCGTATGCTAGGGGAATATACATTTTGGAGTCCTCACTCCTCCTCAACCAGGTCAGGGAAGACCCTCACTCGGTACAGCCCAGTGATGGAGAAAGACCAACATGCTCCCTCAGCCTTCGTAGATGAGGAGGTGGAGCTCCAGAGGGCCTGGGTGAGCTAAAGTTGCACCTCAACCAAATGGAGAAGCCAGGACCTACACCTGGGTCTTCCGGTTCCTAGTCCCATGCTTTATCCAGTGGGAAAAAAAAATATGCCAAGGAAACATGAGTTTGAAATAGAAATAATCAGGCCTGCTATGAGTACCAAATCAGAGTCTGACTGGGGCCCTGAATACATTGCTTAAAAGGTATCAAAGGGCGCCTGGGTGGCTCAGTCGGTTAAGCTCAGGTCATGATCTCAGGGTCCTGGGATCGAGCCCCACATGGAGCTCCCTGCTCAGCGGGGAGTCTGCTTCTCCCTCTCCCTTTGACCCTCCCCCCTGTTCATTCTCTCTCTCTCTCTCTCTCAATGAATAAATAAAATAAATCTTTAATAACTGTATAAAATACTTGTGAATAGATGCCTCAAGGTTGCAATCTGGAACTAGAAAACAAGTTAGCTTCTTTATCACAGAGATTTGAGATGGCAAGAGATAAATGACCAGGAGAGTGTAATGAGGAGACAGAACTATACAGGATTATAGGAAAATGAAGGTCAGTGGAGAGGTGGGTAGATGTTAGGCTAGAATTATGTCAATGTGGCATCCAAGAGACCTGCATATTAGACATGTTTGTGAATATGGTGGCATGCTTGATAAGTTTTATGAATGATGATACATATGGTTTGAAATGAAGGTGAATAAAGTCTGACGTTTGTTCAACTCAGCTTTTACATGTTTGGTTCTAAATCAAGCTTTCCAGAAGAGCCGATGTGAACGAGTACAGATCCAAAGTGGGATGGCCAAGGGATTGATCTGTTTGTAGTGAGCATGAGCTGTGAATAGAGAGAGTACATTTTCATGTCTGAGTGAAAAATTGATTAACCACTCATCAATTAATTAAAAGAGAAAGAATTAAGTAAAGAAAAAATATTTAAAATAAAACGGTCATGAAATACTCATTGGCTTTTACTAATGATTAATGCCATCTAAAGCTAGGTAACAAGGAAATTTTCATCTGAATCATCCACTCACTCCTGTCTAGAACTATAATGATCTCTCACCCTCAAGGACAAACAGTAGAATATATCACTTCTTTTTATTTTTAAAATGGGCAAAATGTGATATTACATAAAACATACATTAAGCTATAGAAATGACATTAAAACATAAATATTTGCTTTAAATTCCTTCCAGCTTATCCTCCCTTACCCCCTTCCAGAGGTGGCCTAGAGGTCAACAATAAGAGCCAGTTCTTCTAAGACCCATTACTCCTGCATTTACTCTGTATATCTCTTACAAAAACAGCATTTCTGCTTCCACGAGGCACTGTCATTTTTCCGTGTTTCTTCTTTCTAGAACACTCTCCTGTCCCACTCAAATTCAGCTCAGAAGTCACTTCCTTAAGGAAGCCTTCCTCATCCTCAGAGAATAGGGGATCAGCTCCCCTGGTTGCATATTTCCACATCATCCTATGCTTTTCTTTTGTGTTCGTCATAATTTTCATAAAATAAATTAAAATGGTATAATTCATTATTTAAAGTCCGTTTCTCCAACCAGAGGAAACTCAATGGCAGTAGGGACCACAGCAGTCATGGTCACTGCCAGAATGGTTCCTGACACATGGAAGAGACTCAGTTGGTGTTTACCAAACAAGAGAACAAGTGAAAGAAGGACGTAGAACCTTCCTGGCTTGTGCAAGTGCTCATTTGTCTTCTCATATAGAAGCAGCTCCATTTGTCCTCTTGGTCTTGTTGTAGGGGACCAGAAATTGAGTGGATGATGGCAATAACACTATTTCTATACAAGTGTTTATTTCTAAGTCTAAAACAAGCAGTACATTGAGATTTGTTTGTAGAAAGTACCCGTCAAAGTTGGATAATGTTGGATGCTTTTGTCAGCCTGTCTCTTCTCCAACATGGTGGCAGAGGCTCAACAGGACCTAGCCATGACTTCTGTTATTTCCCAAGGCTTTCTGAATTCTTTTTAACTTCTTCAGCATGTGAAATAAATAGGTAGGAATTTAGAAATGTAGATTTAGGAATAACATAGTTGAAAAGAACCAAAACCAATTCCTATCTCAACCAAAAAAGTCAAACTTACTGGAATGAAGCATATGAATAGCTATAATTAAATTGACTTAGTAATTTTGCCATCACTGAAATAAATCAGAAAAATGAGGTATGAATAAATATTTGAGAGTTGGGAAACTGGTCATCCAGAGTCCCCATCTGAGTATTAAAGGAATGGTTGATGTTGTCCTGAGAGTGGAACTTTGTTTTAAAATTTGACCCCAAGTTTAAAACACAGAATATTTTACCCAAAAACCCCAATATCCTACTGCTCTGATAAAATAGGTAACCCATGAAATAAGTTGCCATAAATATGACTTCAGTTCACAGTGATGGTATAGTAGTAAGTTGTGCATAAATTTCAATTACTCCAAAATAGTCTTTCCATAAATTTTATGTTTTCAAAATTTCAAAATTTTAAAACCACCAATTCAACATAAATGGAAACTGGCTTGAATGCCTTTATAAGTGAAGGACATTTAAAAACCATCTCTGTCCTTGTTTCAGGTGACATTGCTTTGGATTTGCTTACTCTCTTCATTGGTATTATTTCTTATATTTTTGCTTTCTATTCTGTTTTCTGTATCCTAGTCTCTTTTATTGGTGTGAACATCTACATGTCTTTCCTGCCAACCATAAGTAATTAACTACTTTAATAAAATAAGGTAGATTAATGTGGCTTAATCTTCCCTACTACAGTTAAACTAAATCATGGTGGGACTGATGCTTCTTTGATCGTGGGTGTTAGATGTATAATTGTTTCTCTCTCTCTCTCTCTCTCTGTATGTATGCATGTATCTAAAAGATGGATAGATAGATAGATAGATATATGCATATGTATTCCCACAATGTAAAAATATATATGCATGTATATACACACACACACACATTTTTTTTACCTTGCAGCAATAAATCTGTTAAGATTTTATATATTCCATTGAGCAGTGACAGGATCTGAGCAACAAGATTAGGGGTTTTTTTTATTGTTTCCCTACATAGCTACATACACACACACATATTTTCCCTCATTTCCAATGTTGCAATCATTGTGGTATCTCTGCTTCCTCTGATTATGGAAGATTATTCCATAGCTGATTATGGAGCTATCAGATGAGTTAGGAAACTCAGAGGTCTTCTTACTCTTCTACAGAGTGATAGGCTCTATAGAGCCAGTGGTAGAAGAAAAAATAGGCACCTTTGGTCTGCAACTAAAAAGTCTACAATATCTACTCTGTGTTCTAAGACACAATTTCTAAGTGTAATCATAGCTATAATTATAACCATATCGGGAGTCTACACAGGCATTCGGGAAAAGGATTCAATTTGGCACCCTTAGG